TCAAGACCGTACAAGATACATGTACATGTTGCCATCGATTTGATATAAACCTGACAACAATCGCAATCCGGTCGTGAACACGTCTTTTTTAAGCTCACGTTGGACCCTTGCATCATTTGATATTGCTGCGACTGGCTAAAAGATTACTTAGTTTCATTATGGTTTTTGACAATAAAAGAAAAATAACTTTATCCGTTCACTGCGATCAGAATATTAAGAATAAGGTTTTTGATAGTTGGGAAATAGCTCGTGGCTTACTTAGGCGCTATGGCTCTTCGCTTGAAGACCTTTCCCTACGCTTTCAGACACGCCACGAAAAACAATATGAAGTTTTAGTTACTTGTGGCAAAGGTCCTTGCTTTCGAGGCTGCTTTTTCAAGGCAAGATACGTTTCCATGATACGGTTGTAGGAATGCTCCTTGTGTGCATGGTGGCACTCGTCAAATAGCAAAAGACTGATATCTTCCAAATTCACTTGCTCCTCTTTAGTTTTACTGTTAAGAGCATTAACAAGTATTTGGGCAGTCAAAACAATGATGTCATGGCTTTGTAGAAGATACTTAAGTGGGATCTCCATTGTGTTTGCCCCAGAAATATCAGCCACTGAATACTTGTCTCTCAGGTACAATTCAAACCGCTCCTTTTGCTGAGAAACAAGGTTCACAGTGCTCACAATAAAGACGACTTTTGGGCGTTTTCTACGACTGCTCTCTGTAGGTGCTAAGGAATGAAAAGAAAGACTTAGAAGCAAACTTAGCCCTTTATTGACGGGTGCTTATCCCAATTTCTGCAACATTATGAAGTGACTTAGAGTTCTGATGCCCAGAAGAGGAATAGATGTCTCGCTCAAGAACACAACCTTAGGGCCTGATCTTCAATCCCTGGCCCAGATGGCTAATCCCTAGTAATGTCCAATTAATGAAATTCGCGCCGGTATTTGGCTGAGATCCGACCTATTCCGGTCCTGATTGCGGCAAATAACCTCTTTGATCGGCATAAGTAGGCATTGGAATCACTTCACCCAAATTACAATGCTAGAGGTATCGTTGACAGTGCAGCTGGAATAACACTTAACTTTCAAAGAGAACACAAATAGAACTTTGGATATTCCGTTGAAGGAATTTGTTATCTCATATGCGTTATGCGTGAATTCATTTATCTCTATGTAGACAAAAAAATTGTAGCAAACCTTTTTATACGCCCTCAGAATTCCACACTTAATTGAATCCGCTGATAAAAAGTCAGTTTACTGCTTTACAGTCCTTTCATGATCAAATGTAAAATTTACCAGGGTGATGGACTGATAACTCTCGTGACGATTGTGATATATGATATAAAAAGGCAACTTACCCTCTGCTTTGAATAACTCAAGATGGTTCTTAGCTATTTCTATCGCCACGTACGTCTTTCCGCTATTTGTTGGGGCACAGATTATGGTGTTCTTGCCTTCCAGCGCTGGAGCTGCCAACTCCTTCTGGTATTCTCTGAGCTCCAACTCACATACGTTAAATGGGTTGGCCTTGGTTCCCAGATACACTTATAGAAATAAATAAATAGGTCATATTGTAGCATCACATAGGATCAGTTTATCACTCTGAATCTTGAATGGAGGATTAAGTTTCGAAGCTCAATTCTTTCTGGTTCTTGAATCCGATTAATATCAAAGTGATGAGAGCTTACCGGGTGGGATTTCGATTTCTTCCTCTACCTCAGGTACAGATCCATCATCATCATCAGTAGCACTGTCTTCTAAAAGTAAAACAAAAAACAGCTACAGTTTACGTTTTCTTGTGATATAAATCAAATAGCAATTATCGACTTTTCATTTAATTAATACAGGATGTAAATTTTTTTGTCATAGTACCCTCTATAGGATTTATCACAGTTATATCATTATATTTTCTGCATGGTCATTTGAATCAATTTTACATGTTCTTGATAACCGTTAAAGAACGAACAAGACGTTCTATCTCACCGTAAATCTATATTATTTAATGAACCTATTGACATCTAATGATCCAGTTCAAATAAAGTAATAATCACCATATCTTGGAATTTGAGGTGTACCTGGCTTGCTTGACAAGGTGCTACGCATTTTCTCC